GTCCTGAGTTCAAATTCCAGTGCTCCAAAAAAAAAAATCACTTGAATTTAAAATTTTGACAACAGTGCCAAACAGTTTTCCAAAGATGTTAGTCTGTGTTTTATTTTAAACCCTGTAAAGTTTGCATTCTTCTCTCTAAAATATCCGCTTATTTTTGTCTTCCCCTTAGTCTTAACTAAGAAGATGAGGCAGCAGTTGCTGTGTGGATGCAGTGCTTTGCATGAGTCTAGTTTGTTCCTGGAGCTCCACCCTGAACTCGGTGTGATCTGATCTCTGCTCACTCTAAGCTTGGTCTTGCACCACTTACCACTCCCACCATACTCAACCTGTTCTGGGTACAGCTGACATGAAGGCATGGAATGGGTGCTCTGGCTCAGAGTAGGGTTGGAGAGGAGTCCAGGAGTGTCTTGTGAAAGAAATTGGGTGCCAGGCTGAGTTCCAAAAGGAATAGGGGTTCCCACAGGATGTTATATAGGGGTAACATGGCTAAAGTGCCAGGTTGATGTTTTAGGAATGCTGTGGGTTGGATGTGATTTGAGAGTCTGTCCTTAAAAGTTCATGTACTGGAAGCTTGGTCCCCTGTGTGGTGGTAGAACCTTCAAGAGATGGGGCCAAGTGGAAGGTGGTTAGGTTATGTGGGCAGTGCCCTCAGAAGGGATTAATGTAGTTCTTGTGTAACCTATGCAGGTTGTTATAAAAAGAGGGAGCTTGGTCCCTGAGTCTTTCTGGCTTCCTGTCTTCTCACCATATGATCTCTCTCTCTCTCTGTTTATCTCTCTCTTTTTCTCTTCCATAGATACACTTCCACCATGATGCCATCTGCCATCCAAAACTAAGAGCTAAATAAACTTCGCTAAAAAGTACCCAGAGTCAGGTATTTTGTTATAGCAACAGAAAATGGGCTAATCAAAGATCATGTGCTCCTTGGAGGCCTCCTGCCCCTGTTATTCTACCTCTAAGAAGCTTTACTGGAAACCTCCTCAATGCTCAGTCCAATGGGCACCCTTCAGTTTGGATCTTACCTGACTTTCTCAAAGATAATTTTACACGGCCTTTTGTACAGTTATTAACCCCTCCCACTTACAACTGTTCTCCCTTGGTTTATGTGTCTCTACATTCTTGTTTTCCTTCTCCCATTCTGGCTGCCCCTTATGTTGTTGTATCCTTTGCTATCAGGGAAAACTCAAGTCAGAATTGCTCAAAGTATGGTCCTAGCTGATATAAGCTTTTTTCCCTCTTCTTTTTGTCATGACCCATTAGAAGACTATGGGACAAAGCTAGCAGGTAGTATGAACATTTATAAAAGACTGAACATTTGCAGGGGCTAGGCAAGATGGTGCATGTCTATAGTACCAGCACTGAGGAGACTGAGGCAGGAAGATTGTGAGTTTTAGGTCAGCCTGGGCTTAGCTTGTTTGGGGCTAGCCTGAGCTATAGAGCAAGACCCTGTCTCAAAAAACAAGGGCTAGCCGGGCACTGGTGGCACACACCTGTAATCCTAGCTACTCAGGAGGCAGTGATCAGGAAGATCATGGTTCTAAACCAGTGTGGAAAAATAGTTTTCGAGACCTTATCTTGAAAAAACCCATCACAAAAAAGGGCTGATGGAGTGGCGAGTCCCAAGTTCAGCCATCACAGATGTCCTCTGTAGAGCTGTTTTTTTTTGGGCAGTAGGGCCTCATGCTTGCTAGGTAGGCACTCTACCACTGAGCCACTCCACCAGCAGATATCCTCTGTAGAGACCTTACACTCAACATATCCAAAATCAGTCAAGACCTTTACACACAGACATACCTCTGGGCTTCACCCCTAAACCTGGGCTTTTTCCTCTCTTCCACTCTTAGGCCAAGGCAGTTGAAGAAACTGGAGACCTGGGCATCCCCTTTGGTACTTAGCTTCCTCCCAGTCCATGACAAATACAGCTAAAATTCTCAAATCACTACTATTTTATTTGGCGGTACTGCAGCTTGAACTCAGGGCCTCCTGCTTCGTAGGCAGGCACTCTACTGCTTGAGCCATGCCCTAGCTTTTTTTTTTGCTTTAGCTGTTTTTCAGGTAGGGTCTTGAATGTTTGCTCCAGGGCAAGCCTCAAACCTTGATCTTCCTAACTGTGCTTCCTATGCAGCTGAGATTACAGGTGTGTACCACTTCCTGCAGCTTATTGATTAAGATGGGATCTCTGTTTGCCCATGCTGGCCTCCAACTGTGATCCTTCTAAACTCTGGTTCCCAAGCAGCTAGGATTACAGGTATAAGTGCCTGGCTCCACCCCCTTTCTGCATTATAGTCACTTGTGCTGGATGAGGCCCTTGGGCCAACACCTGCTGTGCATATGCTTTTCCATGTTACAGGCGCTAGAAGGCCAAAGCATTCCCAGACTCCTTTGGAGTTAGGGCTTTAACAATTAGACATATTAGCATGAGGGTTAAAAAGTGAAAGCAGGCAGAAGTGTACTAGACAGTTATGGCTGTTTTGTGTGTGTGTGTGTTTGTGTGTGCGTGCAGGTTTTTTTTTTTTTTTTTGTAAATATGCTTACACATTGCTTAAGCATGAGGGAGTCCCAAGAAATGTGTCACTAGGTCATACACTGAGCATCATAAACTGTACTCTCATCAACTAAGACAGCTGTGATGTCACTGGGTGATACAATCTAATGGGTCCACCTTGTTATTTATGTGGTCATTATTTGGCATGTCGGTATTACGAAGACACTAGTGCAGCCTGGCCTTGTGGACGCAGGGATAGGTCTCAGCATCTCACCATCATGCAGCGGGACTGCCATTGTCTGTCTGATCCCTGCATCCTGTCCTTGGGTGATGGCTTCAGCAGTGTCCTTCTATTTTACCTTCCAGTGGTGACCTCTGGGCTCTTGTCTTCCCAAGTAAGAGTTAGTATCCCATGGTGGGTTAGTTCTTTGGTGTTCTAGGGTCAGGAATACCCAGTGGAGGACCCATCACTTTCTTCAGTACCCACAGAGGTTTGTATTCACACCTGGACTGATACATTGAGGCCCATTAGGTTCCTAAATTGGCCATGCCTCCTTCCACTAGAGTTGTTTGGCCAACTTATTACTGTCACCATCCCTAAACCCCTCCTTCCACGCTCTCTCAACTAACCTCCCTATAAATTGTTCCCAAACCTTTTCCATGGCAAGTTATCCCTCGCCACAGACTGGACCCATTTTCCTTGTTCAACAGGGGTTTCATCTTGCAATTTTTTTTTTTTTGGTACTGGGGATTGAACCAGGCCTTCCACATGCTAAGCAGGTGCTCTATCACTTGAGCCATACCCTGCAGGCCCTTTTGTATTTTCTTTTTGAGATAGGGTCTCCCTAACTTTGCCCAGGCTGGCCTGGAACTTGAGATGCAACTACCTCTGCCTCCCTAGTAGCTGGGATCACAGGCTTGTGCCACCACAGCCAGCTGTTTCTTCCAATGCATTATCATAGGCTATGATTATATATTTGTGAGTCTAGAATAAAGGGTGCAGGGACTTGACTGTCCTTGCTCACTGCTGCTTAGAGGACCACGTAGTGTTCACGCTTCACATACATATGTTGAAAACCGAATGGAGGGCTGATGGCAGGCCCTGAAACAAAATCTCCCTTCTTAGATATGGATGCCGGTCCTTCATCACCTTTTCTTCACCCTTCCTTTAACCACATCTGTGACTCTCACTATGTGTTGTCTGTACTGCTATTTCTCCTGCTTGGCTACCTCTTCCCTCTTCCCCTGGCTCTTACTCATCTTGTGGGTTGTCTCTTCTAGGACACGCTTTGCTTCAGACATTTCTAGTGTTGTTTTTTTTTCCCAAAACAAATGCCTTAAATTCTTTATGTTCTTGGAGGAATTGCTTGCTTTGTTAGCTGTCTGTATCTCCCACCACAGTGTTCTGTTATTCATGGCAGCCATGCAGAGCCCCTTGCAGGGGCCTGGCTCAGATGGCCTCAGGATTTGTAGATGTTGATCAATCAGCTAGGGAGCCAGCCTCAGTCTGGGGCCTTCTGCACACTCTCTAGGAGCCCATCCACAGTAAGGAATTGTAACTTGGGGGCAGCTGAACACAGAGAGGAAGCTGGGGGAGGTGTGTCTGCTCCAGCCTCAGGATCGCCTGGCAGGAGGCCCTGGAGAGGATCCTGTGGGGGGATGGGCAGGGAAATATTTCTTCCTTCGCTGCTTGGGAGAGTGGGGGAGGAGCAGGAGAGGGAAGGCTCCTTCCATGGAGGTGCCTTGGCACACAGCCTGCTGGAAGGGGGGTGGCAAGTACAGTGAAAGCAGCTTTCTCCCAGCAGGCCGCAGGCCTTCAGCCCTGCCAGAGGGAGGGAATCCACTGGTGGCTGGGGGACAAGGAAGATGGGAGGGAGGAACCTAGGAAAGGTAGGTCTGGTTGCTTTGGGACAAAGTAAGGAGAGGGGCTGATCTGGATCTGAAAGGCATGAATCCAAAGACCCTACTAGGCGCCAACTCCAGATCACCAAATCAAAGACTCAATACATTGGCAACTTTTAACTCTCAGGACCAGACCATCTGAAGGACCAGAACAAAGGGTGTATCTAGTGTGGGCAGAACACTGGACCCTATTCTGCCCACAGGCCCAATCTTGGCCTCTGGCGTGGTCTAATTGGAATGGTGGTGCGGGCCTGTAATCCAGCATTCAGGAGGTCAAGGTGTGAGGATTTCAAGTTTCAGGTCAGCTAGCAAGAGACCCTAGCTCAAAAAAAAAAAAAAAAAAAAAAAAAAAAATCCAACAACTGGAGTTTTAACAGTGAGTTAAGTGACTGCAATGCACTGAGTTTAGCTAGCAACTCCAGAGGGCCTGGCACAACACAGTAGGTGCTAAATGCTGCCTGCTGGGGAGGGAGAAGTATTTGCAGGGTAAACAAATGGTGTATAGGGAAGTACAGTAAACTAGGAACTGTGTAACTGCATTTAACACTTCAGAAGGAAACAGAGCACTGTTAGCAATACAAAAGATAAATATTTATTCAGAACAAAACTTTTAATAATTTTACATTCTAAGCCACAGGAAATAGCAAAAACATATAGCAAAGGATAGACAAAAACTAAAAGAAAAGCAGTGTACTGTCTTTTCTACTTGAACTTGATAACACTTGGTTGACCCAGGCCGTCTCCCTTGGCCTATTTCCCAAGTACATTTTAGAGTTAACAGCTCATACATAATTCGAGGTTAGACCGCGTTTCTCTGGGAGTCGGAGGACTCCAGCAGTGCTTCCCTCAGGGCTCCTAGCTAGATAAGAGGTCAAGGTACAATTTGTAAATCTTTGCTAGGCTTCTTTACTCAGGGGCACTTCATTTCTCACTGGTAGCAGTGAATGGGGAAGGGGAGGGCCTCCAGAGGACCTGGCACATTTAATTCAGATGCAGTACCCCAGGGAGCAGTGACTGCACTCTGGAGTTTTTCCAGGGGCCCTTCCTGGGCTCCCAAGTGTTCAGAAGCCCTTGCTGAACCTTCTCTTTCTGCTGCCTCCCCCATGACTTCTCAGCACTGCTCTGGGCTCCTTAAGGGGGAGGGATCAGACTTTCTGGGCCCTCAAGTGTTGAGGAAATTGTTGTGAAGTGTGAGAGGTAGTGGGGTGAGCACCGGGTTTGGGGTCAGGGGACTCTACTATGGACTGGCTCTGGCACCAGACAGCTGTGTGACCTTGACCCAGTCTTTTAAACTCTCTGGGTCTGTTACATCTGCTGGAAACCAAGAGATTGGCATAAACCACCTTTCAAGGTCCTTACCAGCAGGAACAGATTCTAGATTCCATGATTCCAGGAAGAGTGGCTTCTGAGCCACAAGAAGAGCTGTCACAAAGTCCAAGCATTTTTATGCCATAAGAGAGGCCCGTGGCCACCATTCAGAGCTTATTCATCGGATTTATATACACTTCCAACAACACTGGTTTCACAAATTCTCAGACCACGTAGATTAGAAGCAGCAAATTAAAGGGGGACGGGGAAGAGCTGCAAAGGTAGACACTCGGACAGAAGCCACAGTCAACAATGCTTCCAATTCAACAAACACTGATGGAGTGCCTACCACGTGTCAGGCCCGCACCTGGAGCTGGGGCTGGGGCGCGAAGATAAGCAAGGCAGCCCAATGGGTGAAAATCCGGGAAGAAGACAAGGTATGGGAAGAAGGGGTGGGTAGTAAAAACTACGAAGGAAAAAAAAAAATCAAACCAAAAAGTCAAATATAAAAACGAAAAATTAAAAAAGGGAGAGGCGACGTGTTCTGCACTCTACAGTGCTGGAGGGGTAGTCCTTACTGGTGAAGAGCCACCTATTCAGAACAGGCTGAAATGGAGTAAACTCGGTTCAAGAAGGCATAGACAGATGTCTCTGGTAGGTTTTAAAAAGATCTCCTTCAAAAACGATAAAAAATGGTTTAAAAAAAAGTTTTGGCACTTAAGAGGGGTAAGCTGGCTGTGTGTTCACCCTGGCTGGCAGGCAGGCAGGAGTGCGGGCCGGTGGGGCGGGTGTTCAGTGCCCAGCCACTCCGGTTAGCTGAGCTGCCACCGAATTGTGAACTGCTTTGGGACACTGGGCAAAGGCGTGTCCTCGCTTGCCGCAGAGGTTGCACACGATGCCCTTCCGGCAATAAGGGCTCAGGTGCCCCTCTTCCCCGCACCTGAAACACCTGTCCTGCGTGCAGCTGCCGCTCATGTGGGTCCGGGAACCACATTTAAAGCACGTCTTGGGCTGCCCCTTGTACCAGCTGTAGCCCCGCTCGGCCCCCAGGAAGAAGGCGCCCGGCAGGTGCCTGACCCCACCCTCCCCCTGGCGCAGCTCGATCTCGCACTTGTACTCCCCGGTCCAGATCCCAAACCTGTCGGTCACTTTCACGGGCACGGCCAGCACGTCGCAGTGGCGCTTGAGCCAGGTCACGATGTCCTCCACGTCCACAGTCTCGTTCCGGAAGAGGATGAAGAGCGTCTTCAGGCTGGACTTGCTCCGCCCCAGTACCACAAAATTGTCCCAGCAGTCCTCCTGCTCGCGCTTCTCCTCGTACACGCGGAGGAACAGGGCCAGCTTCTCGGCGGAGCGGAAGCTCACGTCGAACTCGCGGCTGCCGGGGATCTGGATGACCGCGTAGATGTCGCTCGGGTCCATGCCGATGGAGCGCAGGATGAGCGCGCCCACCACGAAGTCCCGCGTCGGGCAGGCGCCCTCGTCACCCTGGAAACAGATGCGCACGAGGAAGCGACCCTTACCCGGGCCCGTCGCCGCCGCTGCCGCCACCTGCTCGTCCTGCAGGGGCCGCTCGGCCGCGTCCTCCGGCGCGCCGGGTCTGGCGGGGTTGGCCATGGCCGCCGCTGCCTCGGCCTTCTTCCTCCGGCCCGGCTCGGCGGTGCCTTTCTTCTTACGAGAGTCCACCGCTTCGCCCGCCGGCTCTCTCCGACGGCCCTTCGGGTCCCCGCGGCCGGCCGGGGGGAAATCGCCGAGTGCCGGCGTTGCCAAGGCCGCGGGGACGCCCAGCCCACTTCCCGCGCTGGCTTCTTCGTCCCGCCGCCGCGGCTCGCGGAAGTCGCCTTTCTTTTCGGCCAGGTTCTTCACCACCTGGGCCCAGCCCAGCTTCTCGCGCGGGCCCTCGGCCTCCTCGCCCCGGGCCGCGGGCCGTGCGGGGGGTAGGAGCTGCGGCTGGGCCCGCTTCCTCTCCTCCTCCGCGCCGCTGCCGGTGGCCATTTTACCTCCTTCCCAGCATCCTCCACTCGCTCCCGCAGCCAAAGGGCGCCCATGGCGCGCGCCCGCCCGCTTGGGGCTGCGGGGGCTTGGGGGGTGGGCGTGTGTGCGCGCGGGTTTTCTCTGAAATCCGACGCCTCTCTCGCGGGCCCCGGCGGGAGCGTGGACTGCGGCTCTCGTCGAGCGCTGCCCGCCGCCGCCCCTCCCCGCCCCGTCCTCCCCGGTCTCCGGGATCTGCGTTCCCAACGCCAGCCCTCGGTCATTTCCTCCAAGTCGCCGCTAACGGCCGCAGCCCGAAGGCGGGACAGAGTTCGGGGAGATCGCACTTTTTTTTTTTTTTTTTTAGTGCCTTTTGTATTTAAAAACAAACAAAAAAAAGTTGCACTTGGCGCTGTTCTTCCAAAGCGCACCACAGTGCACTATGTCCCACTCCCAGCCTTGGATTGTGAACACTTTCCAAACATGCAGAAAAGCTGGAAGAATTTTACTGAATGTTTTTACCATCAGCTTTTAGCCATTTAAACTTTTTAAAATCATGAACATTTTACTATGCCTAATCCCACTACACCCCTCTCCATGCATTTTGTTCTTACTTTTTGATACATTCCAAGTAAGTCATGTTGCTTTAAGTTTTAAAAAAATGTATCGTACTCGTGATGACGACGATAATGTATTGAGTACTTTCTTAGTGGGCCTTGCAGCGCTAAGCAACGTGCTAGGCTTTATGACATGAAATCTTCAAACAAACAAACAAAACGCCCATGCTGTATTCATACAAATAAAGGGATAGGAGTCTGGAGACAGGTTACACATCACATGGCAGTCCCCTGTGTAGGTAGCTTCTATTTTTTAACCACTCTGCTTCTGACGTAGTGGATCAAGAACTACTTGCGTAAGACTCTACAGGAAACCGTGTGACTATACAGGTTCCCTGGCTAAAGTTAGCCATGATCAACGCCTCTATTTCCCCCTTGTCTGTCTGGTTTAACGCCACCTCTTGTAGGTTCCCTCCCCCATCCCTCCAGTCCTCAGTAACCTTTTTTTTTTTTTTGTATTTTTGAGAAAGTCTCACTGTTTTGTCCAGTTTAACCTCAAATTTAGGATCCTCCTGCCTCAGACTCCCGAGTGCTGGCATTACAGATGTGCACCACACCTGGCTTAACCTTTCCATCTTTAGAATAAGAAAAGGTAGTTTGTGGAAACCCTAGTTTGAAACTGACTACTTCATACTGGCCTTGTTACACTGGGCTAGTGACTCCGGGTTTCATAGTCTCTATGTGCTCATCCATAACAAGGCGATATTAGCATCTAATCTCAGAGGACTGATATTAATATACTAATAACTAGCCGGTGCCAGTGGCTTGTGCCAGTTGCCCCAGCTACTCAGGAGGGAGAGATCAGGATTGTCGTGGTTCGAAGACAGCCCACAAAAATAGTTCCCCAGACCCTATCTCGACAATACCCAACACAAGAAAAGGGCTGGTAGAGCACCTGCCTAGCAAACGTGAGGCCCAGAGTTCAAACCCCAGTACCACACACAAAAAACCCTAGTATACTCATATATTAAATGTATTATTAGCTTCTCTTGCAGACTCAAGGAAATAACCTACATCAAAGAGCTTGGTGCAGGCATTCATAGCATAGGAAAGTTTATTTTTCCTTTTCCTGTTTCTCTTCCAAATCTGCTTAATGTGTTGAGTTGTGAGTTCCTAGCTTACCATCTTTCCCTTCACCCCAACAAGGTGAAGTCAACATTCTGGACTCTTGTGCCATTTGTGCCTTCCGTTCCCTCACTTGACCTCAGACACCTGCTCAGCCACCCATTCCCGTGACCATACTCAGAACCTACCATTGTCAGAACATCAAAGACAGGTTCATACCTCCCACTCTCGTTCTTTCTGCTTCCCTGCTCCTCTTCCCATGGCAGGATATTTTCAAAACCAAACAACCTCTGTATTTTCAATAATCACTTATGTTCAGCCCAGGTACATACCACACAACCAAATACCTACAAGGATCAAAGTGGAAACCCACATTGGCTCTTCCAATTTCTTTCTTCCTTTTTTTTTTTTTCCCCGTAGCACTACGGTTTTGAACTCAGGGCTTCATGCTTGCTAGGCAGGCGGTCTACTGCTTGAGCCATCCATCAGCCCTAAAGCTGAACTCTTAAAAAAATTTCCCAGTGGTTTTCGGAATCTCCTTCTTACATTGACAATCATACTGTCTGTGAATAATGAAGGTCTTGTCTTTCTTTTACAGATCTTGCACTTTTTCTTGTCTTACTGCACTAGTAGGGAATTCTCGTACAATCAGCATATTCTGAGCATTTTTGGTTCGACTCTTTTTAATTAATTAATTTATGTATTTATTTTTGCTTTTTAGTTATTTTTTAGTAGGATCTCCTGTTATTTCGACTGGGGCCAGCCTCAGACCATGATCTTATCTCCTTCTCCAGAGTAGCTGGGATTACAGAAGTGAGCCACCGGACCTGGCCTGCTGTCTGACTTTAAAGATACATACTTGTGTTTTGAAAAGATTTGACTTGTGGATTGGGTTCTGGCTCCATGTCAGATTTCCTAAGTATATCTTCTTCTATTATAAGATTTTTGTCGGAAAGTATATGACCATTTTTTTGATCCATGTCAGTTTTCGCAGGTCAACTTTTGCAGAGATTATTGAACCAGAAGACATGGGGGCTGGGTAGGTGCCCTGAGATCAAAGTAGTCCAGATGGATATCCAGAGCATCTAAAGAAGGCAGCTTGTATTGCTCGCTGATTAATGATAGTGAGGGAGACAAGGCCAGGTGTCCGCTTTTGTGAGAGATTGGAAATCCAGTATTTGGCAGCCCGGATGGGTCTAATCTCAGTGGCTTGGGCACCTGAGGGTCTAGGGTCTCTCGTGTGTGACTTATCTCTGTCCTCAGTGCACCAGCTTCCATACGTGTTAGCATTTTTATCATCTTTTTTTCCCTCAAATCTTTCACCCACCTCTAGACAAATCCTGACGGTAGTGCTTCCAAAATCTACCCCAAATCTGACCGCTTTCACCTTGTCCAAGCCACCACCATGCAAACTGTTTAGAATATGCCTGACTTGGGCATTATATTTAAAAAATAACAGGTTGGCAGTGTGACTCAAGTGGTAGATCACCTGCCTAGCAAGCATGAGGTTCCGGGTTCAAATCCCAGTACCGCAAAAACATAACCCCCCCCCAAAAAAAAAAACCTAAACCAAATCAACTAAACAAATAATAACAAGGCAGACTGGGCCTGACCAATAAATTCCCCATTTTTGGCTAAGGTACCGTTAGTTATCTCCACTTTACATAGAAGGCAGCTGGGGCTCAGAGAGTGAAGGGCTACATGGTAAGATCCTATTAACAAAACAAAACAAAAAGAATGAGGCTTCTTTCTCTCCTAAATGTGAAGGCGCTGACCTCAGTGCTGGCGGTGTGGCTTCACAGTCATGGGGATCCAGGTTGTAGCCAAGCAGAATTGGTTGGACTCTGCCAAGCTCATTCCCTAGCGCTTGCAGGAAGGAAAGGCCACTTCATCCTGCCCACCCTTGCTGGGGGTGGGAGGGCCCTTCAGGTGCCCACGAACACAGAAATACCACTCAGGCAGGTGTAGTAAGTGTGGATGGACTCCTCCTTCAATCTCAGCTGCAAGTATTGCTTTGGTTATTACAACTAGTGGTTATCAATGTCCTCTCCAGTAGGAATTGGCCTTGATTATAATAGCAGCAGTTTTGCAAATGTTTAAGTGTATTATTTTTAAAATTAGAAACAGGAGGCAATGATGTTACAGACTAAACAACTCAGATGTGGGGAGCAGGCAACCCTCAATGGGTGTCCATGCTGAGCTAGCATGTCTGATGAGGAAGGCTGTGTGATAGTGGCCAAGGCCCCACTACCTTTTTTTTTTTTTTTGAGACAGGGTTTTGCTGTGTAGCCCAAGTTGGCCTTAGATTAGTGATTTTCTTGCCTTAGGCTCACAAGTGCTTGGAATACAGGTGTGTCTTAGCACACCCTGCTCCCCCCTTTTTAAAAAATTAATCAGGGTATAGGCTAAGCTGCCGTAACAAAAGTATCTTCAAATATAGGTTCTCAAAGACATTGGAAGTTCACTTCGCTGATGACACAGCTCAGAATGTGGCAGGCAGTTAGGACAAGTAGGCAACTCTGTCCTGCAAGATTATCAGAGACCCTTCATAACTTCAGGAAAAGAGTTGCCATTTTGAGTGGGGGAAACAATGCTACTGGAGAAAGAGCACCATATAGGGTCGCCTGCTAGGTACCTAAGTGGAGATGTGTAGTAGCCAGTTGGGTGCATGTGGCTGGATTCCAGGGGAGAGGCCTGGGTGGAGGTGTGACTTGGGAAGCATCTGGGTACAGGTGACATCCAAAGTTATGTGACTGGGAGGGAGCCTGAATAGGGTGAAAGCAGACAGAGAAAGAGAGAGAGGGCCCGGGCTGAGAACAAAGACACTAACAGTAAAGGGAGAAGAGGAGGAATCAGCAAAGGAAAAGGAAAAGCAGGTAGGAACTACCAGAGAGGAGGAGGGGAGGCTTCCTGGAAACCAAATTAAGAAAATGTTTCAAGGTAAGCACCAATGTGCTGTGTCAAATGCTGCAGAGCCCAGTCAGGGCGAGGACCGAGAAGTGACGGTGGTTATGCAGTAAACTGGAGGTCACCGATGACGTTGACAGGGCAGATTCAGTGCAGAACAAGAAAGTGATTAAGTGGGGAAAGGAATGGGAGCCAGGGAACAGATAAACGTCTGGGAGTTTTGCTGCACAGTGAAACAGTCAGCAATGTTAGGGCAGCTGTAGGGGAAGCGGACGGAAGTGATGGAAGTGTGAGGAAAGTGGAGAAATAGAATTCTTTAGGATTTGGGACAGGGCAAACGGAAGGACTTTTGAAACTGACCTGAGAATGTAGGGAGCGCTACCTTTTGCCTCTCGAGATTGGTCCTACTCGGCGCTCCGTAGTCCATGTGCGTTTCCTAGGAGACGGAGACGCGAGAGAAAAGGCGGGGTCTTGTTGCGAAGTTTGAGTGGGTTGGGCTGTTGTGCGGCCCACTGCGAGAAAAGGAAGATGGAGTAGCCGAATCGGCACTTCAGAAAACAGGGGCGCTACGGACTCACGACTTTTCTATTTGCTCTAATGGAGCAAGGCTTTCACAAGTAAGTAGAAAGGAGCGTCGGTGGGGTGGCGAAGTGCGCATGCGTGTCCCCCGCTAACCCGGCGGTCTCCCCGCACCCTCACTGACGTCATCCACTCTTCTGGCCACGCCCTCTCAAGCCACACCTTCGTGGACACGCCTCCCATACGCTCCTAGTTTCCCTGCTCTGGCTAACTCTTGTGCCTGGTAGAGTGGGGTTTAAAGTTCGAGACTCCACGTCCGTTTCAAGTTTGCTGCTGAGATGATGGAAGTTTGGGCTGGGGATGATGGAAGTTCTTTCCTGCCTTAACTCTCTCCAGACCCAACCACCCTGGGACTCGCTCCGCAGTCCACAAGTTTCAGGTGAGTGCAGGAGGGCTTGGGCGAGGTGGGGGCTCGCAGACCCTACAGTCCACCCGCCTTTAACTCCCACGATTGTGCCTGCTCCGCATAATAGAGTCTGAAAACCCAAATTCCAGGCCCACCTATGTCACACTTTTGTAGTGGGACCCGGAGCTAACCTATGAACCTCACTTTTCTCCCCTCAGTGCCCTGTCAGAATGTAAAGGGAACTCAGGGCCTTTTACACCAGCCCTTTTTTTTTTTTTTTTTTTGTGATTGGTTTTTTGGAGAAAAGGTCTCGAGAACTATTTGCGTGGGCTGGCTTCGCACCGCCGTCCCTCTGATCTCTGCCTCCTGAGTAGCTAGGATTACAGGTGTGAGCTACTGGTGCCAGACTGTAAAGTTATATTATGGTGCTCACTTACCGAGCTCTCATTGCTCACAGTTCTTAGCACTTCATAAACTGGACTTCCTTAGTAAATTCTGGCTGGCTGATTAAAAAAAATTGATAGCCAACATTTATGGAGCATTTATGACATACTTTACAAATATCTCTAGGGATTCTTACATTAACCCACAGAGTTAGATTGTGTTACTAGACCCACTTTACAAATGAGAAAATGGAGGCTGAGAGAGCTAAAGTCGCTTGCTCAAGGACACAGGTATTTGAAAAGGTGAGACTGGGTTTTGAACCCACCATACTGTGTAACTGTGTTATGCCTGGTTGCATTATGTTCCCTGGCAGCGGTCCAAGCAGAAAACGAAGACACCTAGTCTGCCTCCGCTGGGACAAGCCCGCAGTGCTAATAAGAGCAAAATGAAGACCTCGACTAGAGTTCAGCCAGGTGGGCAGAGGCACTTGGGGGCCAATGTGGGTGTTGGGGACAAGATAGAGTAGCTGCTCTTGGCCTTTGGTGACACCATTCACATTAAGGTAGGTTTAACTAATGTAACAAACAGCCTCCAAATTTAATATCTATACTATACTATATATATGCTCTATGGATGCTCTCTCTTTGTAGCACTGGGGTTTGAATTCAGGGCTTGGCTGCTTGAGGCACGCCTCCAGCCCTCAAGTATTAATATAGATGATCATTCCTCATTAATGTAAAAGTGTATTTGTAGACCTGTTCCACACGTTATTCTCGGATCCAGGTTGCTTTGACCCTCTAGCTCTGATACTTTGTTAAGACCTTGAAAACCCCTGATGGATCCTTCCGTGTCTTGCTGGCAGAGAGGGAAGAGCATGGATGATTTGTGGGCAGTTTTTTGAAGACCCAGACTTGAAGTGACATCATTTCTACTCAAGTTCCAGGGGCTGTAACTCAATCACATGACCCCTCCTAACCATAGGGAAGGTGGGAAATGTAGTCCAGCTGTGTCATGGGTTCAAATCTCTCTGCTCTTTCTTCACTTGGGAAAGTTATCATCTCTCTCGGTCTTAGTCTTCTCGTTTGTGAAATGGGATCACGAAAGGGATTATGGTGAGGATTAAATGAGAATATCTATGGAAAGCATTTAAAACATTGTTGCTCAACCATATCAGCCCCAATGGCCCTTTATTTTATTGATTTATTTTTTTGTGCTACTGGGGTTTGAACTCAGGGCCTATACCTTGAGCCACTCCCAACCCATTTTTGTGAAGGGTTTGTTTTTTTTTTTTTTTTTTTTGAGATAGGGTCTCAAACTATTTGCCTAGCTGGCTTTGAACCACGATCCTCCTGATCTCTGCTTCCAGAGTAGCTAGGATTATAGGCATGAGCCACTGGCATCCGGCCCAACAGCCCTTTAAATAACAGATGTTTTGAAACATCCTTTAGTATCCTGGATTGAACTTCATAGGTAATACAACTTATCTACATATGTACCTGTGTGTGTAATTCCCCACTCCGCCTCATTGCCCTGGAGTGGGGAATACCCTGGAGTACTCAACCCCACAAGGGGGCAGGAGAGTAGAGTGCCAAGTAGCCAGCATCCCACTATGTTTTACCTCTTGGATGCTCATTGGGGTTGGTGTTCAGGCTCCCACTGGGTTCTGCTCAGTGGGTAGGCAGGGTTGGGAGGGGTGGGGAGGTAAACCCTAGAGGTAAATAGTCTCACTTTATACCTCCTCCCCTGGCTCATTACTGCTGCTCAACCCTGAGACAAAATCCTGGAGAGGAACTCAGGGAGCTGTCTGCTTCTGCCAGGTGGGGATCAGAAGCTGAGTTTCCCACTGAGCCCTACTCCAGCTGAGGAAGCAGAGCAGTACCAGGCCCAGGTGAAGGGTCAGCTCCCTGATCCACATGGCCAACACTGCCCAGCAGGGGAAAGGGAATGTATCTATACACACATGCACACACACAAGGCTAACTCATCTTTGAAACAGGTGCAAAAACAATTCATTGGAGGAAAGAAAAAAGTTCTTTGCACAGAAGGTGCTAGAGCAACTGGAGATACATAGACCAAGACAAACAAACAAACAAAGAACCTCAGCTTTTTTTTCTTTCTCTTCTCTTTTCTTTTTTGCTGAGGATTGAATGAACCCAGGTCCTTACACGTACTAAGCATGTGCTCTACCACTGAGCTATGACTCCTCCCGTCCCCATGACTCTCAATTCAACTGGACAATGGGCAACAGACAGGAAGAGACATTTCACCAGAGAGGATATACAGGTGGTAAACAAGCATGTGAAAAGATGTTTGACATCAGTAGCCATTAGGGACATGCAAATTAAAAACCATGATGAAGTCGAGATGTAGTGGTGCACACCTGTAATCCCAGCACTAAGGAGCTGAGGCAGGAGAATCTCCAGCCTGGGCTACATAGTGCAACTCTGTCTCAAAAAAGCACAACCAAATCAAAAACAAAACCACAATGAGGTATTACTGTGCATCTGTGAGAATGGCTAAAGTGAAAAATAGCAATAGCACCAAGTGCTGGCAGAGGAGAAACTGGGTCATGCTACATTGCTGGTGGGACTATAAAGTGATGTAGCACTCCGGGAATGATAATGGCAGTTTCTAATGAAATTCAGCATGTGATATTTCCTTATGACCCAACAGTTGTACTTTTGGGTACTTAGTCCAGAAAAATGAAAATATGATGTTCACACAAAAGCTGGTACATGGACGTTTGTGTGCATAGCAGCCTTTCATGATCCCCAAACCAGAAACGACTCAGATGTGCAGATGTGCTTGCACAGGTAATGATTAGCAAAACTATGGCTCATCCATACCTCAGACTACCATTCAGCAAGAAACGGGAAGGAGCTATTGACACACTCAACGCTTGAATCTCCAGAGAATTACGCTGAGTAAAAAAAGCCATTCCTAAAAGTTACACGGTGTATGATTCCATTTATATAACATTCTGAGAATGACACGATCGTGGGAATGGAGGACAGATAGTGATTGTCCAGGGTCACGGTCAGCTGGGAGGAGGGTAGTATTGGGGTGGAAGTGGTTGTGGTTACAGAAGATAACGGGAGGGATCCCTGTGTTTGTGCAAATGTCTGACAGTCAGTATCCTGTTTGTGATATTGTACTGTATTTTTACAAGATGTTGCCATTGGGGAAAGTGGGTAAAGAGTACATAGGCTCTCTTCATTTATTAAAACTGCATGTGCATCTGAATGTATCACAAAAAAAAAAAAAAAACCCAAAAAACTTAAAGGGTTGGGAATGTGGCTCAAGTGGTAGAGCTCCTGCCTAACAAGTGAGAGGCCCTGAGTTCCAACCCCAGTACCACCCAAAAAAGAAGAAAAAAATTAAAGATAAATCAAGACTGACAATAATGAAACAAGTATTATTAAAGCCACAGATCTTCCCTAAGCATTTAAGTACAACTTAAGACTCTTTACAAAAAACACTTGTAAGGGGGATTTTGGAACTTGGTTTGTTAAATCGCCCCCCCCCCCAAATCTTTTAAGCCTCATTTAAAAGTTTAATATCTTTATTTTCACTTTTTAAATAGTTCCTATTAAAAAGCATTGAATATTTAAATAATTCTTGTACTAGATGTGGTGGTGCATGCTTATAATCCCAGCACTCAGGAGCTGGAAGCGGGGGGGGGGGGGGGGGGTTGAGAATTTGAGGCCTCAGCTACATAGTGAGTTCAAGGCCAGCCTGGGCTACGTAGTGAGACCCTGTCTCAAACCCAAGCCAAATTGGGTGTGGTGGTGCTAACCTGGGCTACATAGTGAGATCCTGTCTCAAAAAACAAGAAAAACAACAAAATCAAAAATAAAATTCTTCTATATCTCTCCCGGACAACCAAACTTCTTTTTTTGGCAGTACTGGGGCTTGAACTCAGGGTCTTATGCTTGTTTAGGTGGGTGCTCTATTACTTGAACCACATCCCCAGTCCTCAACTTAATGTGAGTATCACAGATTAACCTATTAATCATTCTGCCTCTTAAACAATCCTGTTAAATGCCAGATATTTACGAATAATTCACACAGTTAACAGGATTAAGGGCGTTGATCTGCTTGAGAAAGAGCTGAACTGGGGTCTTGGTGGGGTCTGAGAATGGAGCTGCAACCGGCTGGGTGACTTGCGGCATGCTGGTTCAGGACGGGCTGAGTGGAATCTGCCCTCCAAGTGCCTTTACTCCCTGTCTAGCAGGACCTCGGCTTGCATAGTATTTTAGAGACAGCTGACGGGAGTTTTGCATAGCTGTGATGCCTGCCAGGGCTCTGGGCCCAATTCTCAAGTCACTAGAAATTAATAGTAATTAGTACTGCGTATCCAGCACTGAAGATGTGGCAGTCAGTATTCCAAACACCTTGAGGCATGATGACTTCTTTTGAACTCAGGGCTTTGAGCTTGCTAGGCAGGGCTCTACCACTTGAGCCACGCCCCCAGCCCTTTTTGCTTTAGTTATTTTTTCAGATAGGGTCTTGAGCCTTTTGCCCAGGACTGGCCTGGACCCTGATCTTCCTACCTCCAGCTTCTGACTAACTTCTTTTTTACCTTCACGACAAACCTGTGAAGTAGGCATGGTGATTATTTCTATTTTATAGATGGAGGGACTGAGGGACACAGAGGTCATGTGACCTTCCTGGGTGACAGAGCTAGTAGAAGGCTCTGTTTTCTTTAGTTCTCGTTTTATCCCCCTTTCTCAACGGACCTGTCTGTCAGTCAGGTTGGGAGAGCAGTGGTTTGGACTTGGGTCTGCCAAACTGTGGTCCTCTTGCTGTCTCCTGCTGTGTCAGGACATGACTCTCCTGGATGGATGTTTGGGAATGGGGGGTCTGCCTGGTTTATCTTAGCATTTCCACTAAGGATGGGAAGCTTACTGTTAAGGTCGGGGAGGGTCTGCCCCTGGCTGTCTGTCCTTCCTTGCCAGTCTGTCCTCCTTTCTGTCCCTATGGTCACTGCTTTCCCCTGGGCTTGTCCCTCTTTTACAGCAAGGCCTAGAGTGGGGCTGGGAGTCTTTTGGTGGGTGGGGTCTTTTCCTCTGTCCAGTGGCAACTCATAAGGCTGCGAATGGGTGGGGCTGAGGCCTGGGCCCCGTCTTCCATTTTCTGGAACCTGGTCCCAGGCCTGCTGTACCCTCACTCTCTCTCTGCCCTCTCCCATCTGTTCTCAGTGGTGCATTCAAAGACCACTCCTGTAGGGACAAGCCAGCTGAAGAATCCACAAGAACTGCATGGAAGGGAGCAGGTGCAGCCTTGGAAGATGCAGGCCAAACTCCGGTTAATGAGGGTAGGAGCAGCATCTTTCTGCAGCCCCAGGCTTAGGGCAGGGAACAAGGGGTGGCTATATGCACTGAACTCTTCCTGGTTCCTCCTCACAGCAGTCCCATGGGCACACTTAGCATTCCTCTTTTCCAAATGGAGAAACTGAGGTGCAGGGAGAGAAATGACTTATAGGTCACATGGCCAGAGAATGGCAGTACCAGGGGTTGAAGCCAACTTAAACGTTTGCTGTTGTGTTTGGATTCAGGGAAAAAATCAGAATCACTTCACTACATTGGGAACATAGTCTAGTGTATCATTTCACCGTTTCCAGTGTCGCAACCCTTTGTAGAATGCAGCACACTGGGAAGCAGGGCTTAGAAGCTTACTATTAAAATTCTCAACAGTGTGGGGCCGTAGGTGTAATGGATAATGCAACTGACTACAGATCAGAAGATTCTAGAATTCTCACAAAACATTCCACTGGAGATAATTTTCTTATCATGCATTATCATCATTACTATTTTATATATACACATGTATACATATATATATATATATATATATATATATATATTTTTTTTTTTTTGGTGAGACTGGGATTTGAACTCAGGGCTTCACCCTTGCAAAGCAGGCACTCTGCTGTGCTTGAGCCACACCTCCAGTCCATTTTTGCTCTGGTTATTTGGAGATAGGGTCTTACAAACTATTTCCCCGGGCTGGCCTCAAACCACAATTCTCCTGATCCAGCCTCCCAAGTAGCTAGGATTACAGGTGTGAGCCACTGGCCCCCAGTTATTATTATTTTTTGAGACAGGGTCTCTGTGTAACCCAGGTTGGCCTGAAACTGGCTCTGGCATCCAGGCTGGTCTCAGACTCATGATCCTCTTGCCTCAGCTTCCTGCGTGCTGGCCAGGCCTTGCATTCTCATGCTGAGTACAGCAGGGATGAGATCTGACTTAGGTTTTCATAGGAGTCCTGGGCTGCTGCCGCCTTGTGGAAAATGGACTGTGGGGGCAAGAGAAGGGAGCAGAAACTGCCCAGTTGGTTCATTCTTGGAGACAGAGTAGGATCCCAACTCTGTTCCTCAGCCTCAGGCTGATGATTTACTTAGTCTGCAATTCACTGGGGTGTGAACTCAGGACCTATGCTTGCTAGGCATGTGCTCTACCACTTGAGCCACTCCACCAGCCGTTTTTTGTGATGGGTATTGTTTGAGATAGGGTCTCGAGAACTATTTGCCCAGGCCTGGTTTCAAACCAAGATCCTTCTGATTTCTGCCTCCTAAGTAGCTAGGATTACAGGTATTACCCACCGGTGCCTGACTCAGTCTGCAATTCTGCACAGAGTGCGTGGTAGGCGCCAGGCAATGTACTGGGCATTGGGGGATTAGCATAAACAAGGCACTCTGAATCACACAGGAATGGAGCTTATACTTGAAGGGAGACACACAATAAATGAATTAAAAAGACCTTACGGAACAGTTACCCATTAATTTATCCATTCCATACTCACAGAGCTCCAGACTGTCCTTTGGTGGTACTGTGATGACACAGATGTAGGCCCTGCCCTCCTGGCTCTGACACAATAGGGGAGGGAGATAAGCAAGACAGTAACAAAATAAAATGTCTTGTTATATTAGGGGAGACGTGACTGTAAGCTGTTAATTGCACGGTTACAAATTGAGGGAAAGGATGAGGAAGGAAACAAAGCAGGCTCCACGTGAGATGTGGTGGTCAGTCGAGATTATTAAATCCTAATATCAGACTCGTCTGCCAGTGGGACGTTGTTAACCATCCATATTCTTGGGCTCAACCATAGCAAGACAGGCACAGCAAGCCCCTGACCTGATAACAGGCATTTTTCACAAGATGTTTCTGGAGATGTGGAGGTGGGGGTGGGAGTGAAGACAGCAGCTCTGCTGTGTGTGACCTTGGATAGGTTACTCAGTCTGATCTTCAGGTTCAGTTGTTTAAAGTGGGGTAATGTAGTGCCCATCACCTAAAAGGGCTGTGAGGTGTGCCACACAGTGTCGGGCACAGGTCAGCACTCAAATCTTTGCAAATAGATGGGGAGTATAAGAACTGCGGGCTAGGAAGTTCTCGGTGAAGGACAGAGAAGTGAAGGGAACAAGAGGAGTAAAGAAGAGAGCAGATGTTTACACCAGGAGCAGAGGGGTGGAGCCAAAGAGACGAGCATCAGTTACTGTTCACCGAGTGCGAAGTGGTGGGTTGTGAATTGATCTTATTTGCTTTTTTTTTATTACAGCTCTCTGAAGCAGGTATTAGTTATTATCAGCTTTAAGTAGGGATAAATGGGTTCTGGAGGTGAATTAACTTGTCCGGATTTCCTGACATGGTAAATGTCAGAGCTGGGACTTGAACTAAGGTGTGTTTAGGCTTCACATCCCAGTAATAATCACTCCACAGTTCAGCCTGGCCTTGTAGCTTTAAGCCCACTCAGTTCTTGTTTTAGCATAATAGACAGACACTGGGGCTCAGAAAGCCCCAACAGCACTACCAGCTGTTGGCTGTGTGTCATTGAGTCAGTCATTTAACCTTCCTGATCCTCCACTTATCAGCTGGAGGATGAATTGACACCATGTGTGTCACCTGCAGAGCACCTGCCTGCTGTGGCGTGCAGCAGTTATTATTGGTGGTGGTGGTGTCAGTTTCTGTACCTGTGGATGTAACCTTAGACAAGGCACTTAACCCTTTGGACCTCCTTCCCACAAGGGTTGTATGATGAGATGGGAAATGGTGGCTTTTCCTGCTTCTCCAGACCTGGCCCTTTACCTCTGCGGCCTTCTTACCTATCTGGGGTGTTTATTTATTTATTTGGCAGTACTGGGGTTTAAAGTCAGGGCCTCACACTTGTTAGGCAGGCACTCTACCACTTGAGTCACTCTGCCAACCCTTTTTGGTGTTGGGTAATTTTGAGATAGGGTTTTGTGAACTGTTTGCCTGGGCGGGCCTTGAACTGCAATCCTCCTGATCTCTGCCTCCTGAATAGTACAGAAATACTGATCATAATATTAAAAACCCTAGACTGTATTTCTGTACTTCACTGATTCTAAGAAGCCATTGAAAATAGGGCACATTTTAATTTTAATTTTATTTACCCTCTGAGGTATTTGTCAATTAGATGGTGACATGGCCATCTTAGAGCTGTGAAATGTGGGGAAAATTGCATTCAGGATGGATGAAAGGGTGACGGGGCACCCTTACTGCAGACAGTGGGGAACCCAGCCCACCTGGGACTGTCTTTACGGGGAGGCTTCAGATGCGGGTGTGGAGGGAGCCATCCCTAACCCTGCTCTGCATCCGCAGTCCATGCTGCGGACCCAGAGGACCTCGCTGCAGGAGCTGAGCAACCACGAGCGCTTCCTCATCAAGCTCAATGAGGAGCTGATCGAGGCCATCCGGTGCATGGAGGACAGCACCGCCCTGACCGTGCGGACGATGGTGCAGCAGCACTACGTCCTCGGGGTGAGCGAGCCAGCCAGATGCGCTGCCTCTGCCCTTCCCCGCGTTCCTGCCCGAGGCCCACGCGCCCTCTCCTGGCCGCTCCCAACACCTGCATGTGCTGCTTCCCCATCCGGGAGCCACAGCTCTTCACCCTTCCCCCCACCCACTGGGCTTTGGAGCCATATCGAGGTGGGGGCTCACCCCAAAGCACTTACTAGCTCCGAGACTTTGGGCTAACCTTGTCTCTCGAACCTCTGTAAAGTGGGGTGCAATAGCACCCACCCCAGAGAGGGGTGATAGCTGGCACACAGGATACTGGTGCTGGGGTAAGTTGCTGCTGCTGCCACCACTAGGGACGGCCTGGCCAATACTACCAGGAAAGGCTTACACAGTGTAATAGGAAATGCTTTACGTGTATTCCTATAATCCTTATAAAAGCCCTGTGTTCATCCATATCTAATTCTCCTTCCAGTGGGACAACAGGCAGGTAGCCTCGTGTGTGTGCTGTGCTGCACGTGAGGGAAGCAGAGGGGACCACTCACCCACACAAGGGAGCTTCGGGAAGGCTTCCTGGAGAAGGCAATTCTTGGGCTGAAAGCTTCAGGGAAGGCACTGATTGGCAGAGATTGGAAGAGTGCTGCAGGCAGAGGAAAGGACTTAAGCCCTGGGGTGAGAGGCTGTGTGTGGATCAAGGAGCCACGTGTTCTGAGTGTGGCTTGACAGTAAGGTGTGACGAAGGAATCAGAGAAAGATGAGTTTAACCCAGGTCAAATCAAGCAGGACTTTGTCCACCAAGGTGAGGAGTTTGTTGAGGGGGCAGAGTAGGAGCTGACACTTCTCCAGTCTCTGGTTAGAGAAGTTGGATTGGGGACTCTTAGGAGGTGTTGAGTGGCCACAGCCTCTGGTGAACCCTGAAGCCAGTAGAGGCTCAGGTGAGCTGACCCCTCCACTCCTGCAGAACGTCATCGACATCTTGGAATACTCAAACAAGAAGAGGGTGCAGGAGTTGAAGACTGAGCTTCTAGAGTGGGAAGAATTGGAGAAACTCAAGTTGAAACGTAAGAAGCTCTGGTGTGAACTTCTGGGCCCTCATCCTTGACCTTTTGGGGAGGGCACCACAGGGCTTTCACCTCGTATCTGCCTTTCAGAAACCATTAGGCCCATCCTGTCCCTTCTAGGGAGATGGAATTGCTAAGGCACAGAGCTAGCACTTTCAGGCCCTGGGTGTCTGCATGCATTTTTTTTTTTTTTTGGTGATGGTACTGGGGTTTGAACTCAGGGCCTCATGCATGCTAGGCAGGCACTCTACTATTTGACCCACCCCACCAGTCCTTTTTTTGTGTTGGGTATTTTGGAGATAGGGTCTTGGAGAACTATTTGACTATGCTGACCTTGAACTGTGATCCTCCTGATCTCTGCCTCCCAAGTAGGCAGGCTTACAGGTGTGAACCATCGGGGCCTGGCTGTATGTCTACATTTTTATGGCAGCACTTTCACCCAGTCATTACCATCTGTGATATAGGGAGGAGTTTCCCATTTTATAGAAGAGGAAGCTGAAGCTAAGAAGGTTAGTATAGGCAGGAGTTAGAATCCAGTCCTAGCCTGACTCTGCTTCCCATCAAGTTCCCTCTGGGGGTCAGAGGCTGGGCCAGGACCCAGGTCTCCTGGTTTCCATTGTGCTGGGCCTGTGGTTTCTTCTCCCTGAGAAGCCTAGATGCTTTCTGAGTATAGGCTTGGTATGCCGGGCAGTCTGAAGCATTGGGGATCCCCTCCACAGAGGAAGGCAGGACAGACTTGGTCTTAATGTCTTAGGAGCCATCTCTCTGATCTCACTTCATTAGAAGTGAGTGCCTGAGGCACCTGAGGTTGGATGAGCTGGTAAGGGCCACAGAGCAGACAGTAGTAGAGTTGGGCTGGACTAGGGATCTTGCACTGATGTCATTTCTGTTTCCTGCCCAGCATTGCCTCTCTGCAGACCTGGGAGACTCTTTAACAGGCTTAACTTTTCACCATCTCCCTCCTTGTGTGAGCTCACCTCAGCCCATATCCCCCAGTCCATTAGCCAAAGAGAGTAGGGCCTCCTGGGCCTCCTGGGAGTGTTCTTTGAGGGAAGGCCCTGTCTCCTGCCTGTCCAATTGCATCTTCCTTCCTCAGGCCTGGAGCAGCAGCTGGAGCAGCTGCATGCAGAGAACAAGATGACCCACGAGGAGGCGCGATTCCTGAGCACATACATGGACCACGAATATCCTGTCAAGTCTGTGCAGATTGCCAGTCACATGCGCCAACTGCAGCAGGCAAAGGACGACCAGAAGGTAGAGCAGCCCCTGACCGTGCTGCACTTGACCATGTGTGAGGCAGGGCCAATGATCAGCCTCCTTCTGCTGGTCCCCAGGACGAGTTGGATAACCTCAGTGAGATGCGTAAAGTGGTCCTTGGGTCTTTGTCTAATATGATTCAGGAGAAGAAGAAAAGCATTCTGAGGTCTCTGATGATGGTGAGTAGCTAGAGGCTGTGGTGGGGTTTCCAGGTCCTGCCTCAGCCTCTCTGTCTTCCCTGTCCATGCCTACCAGGTACTGCTGCCCAGGGAGAGGCACCCAGGGGACAGATCTCTCCTTTTTCCACAGAAAACCCAGAAACCTCATGAGAAGCGTCTTCTGCAGAAGACTCAGAATAGCCAGCACACGCAGAAGTACACAGTCTGGGTCAGAGGCGTGAGTGGAAGAGGGCAGCGAAGGTCTGGTGTGAGGGAGCAGAGGGGAAGGTGGTCCCCAAGGCCTATGGGACACTGGCTTATCCTGATCTGATGCTCAGGAAGTCCCCTTCTCTGGTGCTGGCTTTCCTCCTTGCCACCGCCAATACTATCATTCACCTTTCACCTGGGAAGGGAATTCAAGCTGACTTGGGACTTGCCTCATTGACCACTATCTCTGCCTGGTGCCCAGCATCCCATTAGTAACACCATGGCATTGCCTGCTTGCACTGTTATCCACTGCCCCCTTCACTCCTTAATTCTTGTCAGTACCACCAACCACTATCAGTGTTCCTGAGCATTTACCACCGTCACCCTCTAGAATTGTCACCATCTGCCACCTTCATCAGTTTTCAATGCTAGTGCCTTTCATGATCTCTGCCAGCCTCTCCCACCCATAACTTTCATAATCAAGCCGTCCCAGCCCAGCATAACATGTCTCTGTTCTCCACAGTCCCCTCACCCTTGTCAGCACCATGGAGAGCTTGGTCACTTGCTTAACAAACCCCCGACCTGCACAGAGAGGCCCCCTGTCTGAAGTCCAGCATGTCCTAGTGACATAGCCCATACTATTCCCCCAGGTCTCCTTGCTCCTTGTGTATTTTGCCTTTGTCTTCCCTTCACTGGAGGCCATGGGCTTTCTCTCTCCTCTCCTGTGCCTCTCCCTCAGCTTATTGATCAAATGAGGAAGGAAATACCCACATTAATGGCTGAGGTGGAAGAGCCCCAAGCTGAGATCTTGGAAACCCGAGAGGTCGTTTTTGAGGATGTTCTGCTTCGGAGACCCAAGTATGTGACCTTTTGCAGCTGGCCACGCTCTGAGCTCCAGAAGGCTCTCTGTTTTAAGGGAGGGCAGCCTGGGTGTAGGTGGCAGAACCCTGTCCAGGGAGGGAGGAGGCCTGGGTTCCACCTTGGTTCTGCCACTGGCCATAAGCAGATATGATTTTTCCCATCTCTGGGCCTCGTTGTCCCATTTGTGTCCATGAAGCTAGGTTAGGTGATCTCTAAGGACCATTTTAGTTCCCAGTGTGTCAACTGGATGGGCTGTTGAGGAAGGCAGAGTTGAGTGGGGTGGTTGGTTCCAGAGAAATACACTACAAGGACAGAAGGATGTTCTCTCTGCTTGGCAGGCTTCTGAGCCCCAAGGGAACAATTTCTTCTAAAACCAATTCTTTGCCTTCTCTCCCTTAGCTCAGGCTCTTTGTGGTTGAACTGGGAGGTACCCAAAGCCAAGTGTCTCCTTGATGGCACTAGAGGACCATGTGTGACAGAGTGTGGCATTTGCAAATTACTGAATTTTCCTGGTCATTGGTCATTTCTTTGTTTGTCTCCTCCTCCCATACTTTCCTTTTCTTTACTAACTCCTTATCTCCCTTTTTTTTTTTTAAGTGATGCTGTTGAATTTGTGAAGTGCCAGGGAGCATGTGAATAAAGTAGCCCTTGGCTCTGTCACCAAGGAACCAAGAAGGAACCAAGACGTTAGTGGACAATAAGCTATAAATGTAAAGTTGTGGCCAAGCCAAGAGCTGCTAAGGAGGGGTCCATGGCTGTGAGAGAGCATGTCCCAAGGCAATGAGTCTGTGTGGTCAAGGAAGATTTCCCTGAGAATATGACATTGAACTGAGAGCTGAAGGGTGTATAGAACATTAGGACTGGGTGCCAGTGGCTCATGCCTGTAATCCTAGCTACTCAGGAGGCAGAGATCAAAAGGATTGTGGTTTGAAGCCAGCCTAGGCAAATAGTTCTGGGAGACCTTATGTCAAAAAAACCCTTCACAAGAATAGGGCTGGTGGAGTGGCTCAAGGTGAAGGCCCTGAGTTCAAGTCCCAGTACTGAAAAAAAAAGAGGCAGCTCATTAGGCAAAGAGGCTGGAAGAGAGCTCAAGAAAGAGCAATTCCAGTATTCCAGTGGCAGTGTTGGGGTCTCTGGGGGATATAACGAGTGGCCACCCATTCTCTTTACCTGGGCTCTGAATGTGTTGAAATAAGACTGACAGGGCTGAGGCTAATGTGGGCCAGATTACCACTTTTATTCTGCTAAAGATGACTTTTGAGAATGTGGCTTACATCTCCAGGTATGTTGGCCTCTGAATTCTGACTCAGAATTAGGCAGATTGCACCATAGGGGATCTGGACCCGGCTGGAGCCTGCCCTTGGAGCACAGGAGAGCACCATCCTTGTGGGCTGCTTGGTGCTGAGCCTCCTATGCCCTGTCTTCTCCAGATTCACCATTTGGTATCCCACTGCCTTGGCAGGAGCAAAGGGAAGAAAGGGACAGAGAGAGGCAAGGAACAGTGCGCTCACTGACACCCTTGCCTGCGAAAGGGCACACCAGACATGGTAGCAGCTCTTCCCCCTGAAGAGCAGGAATTACATGTTGCTAAGCAGAGCTTCTTCAACTAGGGCATGCATTGCAAACACCCGGAGATCGTGTTAGAAGCAGATTCCAAATCTGTAGGTCTGCAGTGGGGTCCGGAGCGCTGCATCCTTAAGTTCTTGGGTGTTGCCGTTCTCTGTGGACCACATGCTGAGTGGTGAGACTCTGAGGATCATGATAGGAAGAAGCTTGGTATTTCCACCAGGTGGTGGCTGGAATGTGGAGCAATGGGGAATGCAGTGATGCAGCAATGGGGCGATGTGGAAGGAGCAGGCAGTGCATCCTCTGAGGGCCTCCAGGCAGTGTCCTGTAGGCCAGGGTTTTGTATTTGATCCTAAAAGCAAAGGAAGCCGGGTACTGGTGGCTCATGCCTGTGATCCTAGCTACTCGAGAGGATTGCAGATTCGAAGCCAGCCTAGCTAAATAGTACATGAGACCCTATCTCGAAAAAACCCGCAATACAACAAAACAGGGCTGGTGGAGTGATAGAGTGCTTGCTTAGCAAAGCCTAGCAAGTGTGAGGCCCTGAGTTCAAGCCCCAGTACGCCACCCCCTCCAAAAAAAAACCAACAACAACTAAAAGCAAAGGATTTTAAGCCAGAGTGATGCCGTGATCAGATCAGTATTCTTAAAAAGTCATTTTGAAAGCAGGATAAGATTGGAGAGAAGCCAGAGTGGGAGCTGGAAGTCCAGTTGGGTATGATGGCAGTGGTCCAAGGGAGTGCTGGGAGTGGCCTGGCCAAGTGGGTAGCAGATACAATGGGACAACTAGGTGGATTGAGGAGTATTAATGAAGGGAGAAGCTGTAGGTCTCAGTGATGTTTGGATGTCAAAAGCACAGGGCATCACGAACAACCCCTAAGTTCCTGGCTTTTATACCATGTGGGTGGTGGTACCAAGTCCAGAAACGGAGGGCTGGGGAGGGGTGAGGGGTACATGTGTAGATTCACCCAAGAGCTTAGTTGGACAATAGGTTTGATTGATGGAGCCATATATTAGCAGTTGAGAAGGTAAGTATAGATCTCAGAGGACGACAGCTCACATGTTGGCAGGAGATAGAAATTTGGGCATTGCCAGTATAGAAATGCAGTTTTTTAAAAAACTATTTTGAAAAATTTCAAATACACACAAAAAAAGAGAGGAAAAGATAATGAATACTTTGTGGCCCATCTAGATTTAGAAGTTGTTACATACGTAAATGTATAATATATAATATATATAAAATTTTCTTGGTGGTACTGGGGTTTGAACTCAGGGCCTCATGCTTGCTAGGCAGGTGCTTTACCACTTGAGCCACACTCATAGCCCTTTTGCTTTTAGTTTGTTTTTCAGGCAGGGTCTCATGCTTTTGCCTGGACTGGCTTAAGACCACAATCCTCTTATCTCTGCCTCCTGAGTATAGAAATTGTTATATTTTTGCCATTCTAGCTTCACCTTCATCCTTTCTTTCTTTCTTTTTTTTTTCTGAAGTAGTATAAGTTGTAGATACTCTGATATTTCAGCCTACTTTGTGTATAACAGTAGATTATAGAACCCATGAACATGGATGAGCCCTTGGACAAGAGTGGGTGAGAGTTCAAATCTGCAGCCCTTTTCATGCCTGTGCTGGTCACTGAGATGAAGAGTATTTGCTGATGGGACCCCATCTCTCCTTCTACTTTCATGGGAAGACTAGTACCTGTCATCTATTGAGTACTTACTTCATGCCAGCACTATTGTAGGTCTCATTTAATTCTCCTACCAGGGAATTGGAATTCTCACCCCCATTTTTCAGATGAGGAAGTTGAGGCTTGCTTGCTGTGTGGCACATAGTGGGTGCTGTCACATAGGTGCCACACAAAGGAGAATGGCTCAGAGAGGAGAAATAAATCCCAGTACTTGGGAGGTCGAGGCAGCAGCAGGATTGTGAGTTTGAGGCCAGCCTGGGTTACATAGTGGAGGCCCTGTCTCAAAAGAAATAAAAAAGGAAAAGTGGCTTGCTGAAGGTGACACAGAGCAAGTCACCCTGACTCCAAAGACAGGGGCTTCAGTGTCTGAGGCTTGAGTTACTGCTCCCTGTTTACCTCCGTCTTCTTTAGGTCAACATTAGTCCTGCCAAAGTCATTTCTTTTCCATTTTTGACATTCGTTTGTATATACTTGTACATGTATGCACCTGTGTGTGTATGCACAGTTGGCCACAGGTTATGTTTTGGGATAGGCCCCTCCAGTATGTACCACTGTTTAAAAGAAACTGGGGGTTCCTCTGAGGGTATGCTCTCCTACTCCTAATCCCTATTGGCCCTTCACACTCCTCTTTGCTGCTTCCCACCAGGTGCACCCCAGACATGGCCATTGACCTCAACATCCCAGTGGAAGAGCCGCTCCCCTTCTAGATGGCTGTGCTGTGGGTCACCTCCACTCCCTGCTGTCTTCCCAGCACCTGGAACCTTGATTGCTTTCCTTCCAAGACCATGTGTCTATTTAGACCCTGATCTGCAGTCCTTCATCACCCTTTCCCCTCCTTTCCTGTCTATAGGTTTTTTTTTTTTTTCTCTCTCTCTCTTTCTCTCTTCTTTCTTCTGGGTTGGGGCTGCTTTTTGGGCCAGGTAAGAATTCCCAGTCAATTCTGCCATTCTTTTTTGCCAATAAAGCTGAATTTGCATTTGCTTTGTGCTGGTGTGTGTGGTTCCCAGCTAGGCTTTGCGGAACACATGATAGGAATGGATTTTGCCTTAAGATAGGGGGTAGACAGCTGTGCTGACTGCATCTGGGGCTCAGAACTTTTCCAGAAGAGCTGAAGGAACCCCTTTCCCCAGCTCTATGGTTCCCTCCTGGTACATTGGGAACTTAGCTTCCCTTCCAATTTGTGCCCAGGTTTGTTGAGGCAGTGTTAAGGTGGAGGGGAGACTCCTTGAGATTAATTCACCTGGGAACTTGCTGGTCTTTTGTTACTGATGGCTGTCTCTTTTCTTGTCCAGCCATGTGACTGTCCACTGCTTCTATCCCAACTGCATAGGAACATGAACCACACTCACTCATGTACAGAGTTATGCACAGCTCCACACTGCAGACCCTTCTACGGTGGACTTAAGGGTACACTGCCAGGTCTTTCATCAAATGCGGACTTGAAGATGCTTTCCGCAGTCTTCCTTCCAGCAGCCAGACGCTTTGGGTCTACAGAGAGCTACTCACATTAACTGTAATGTACAAGCATCAAAGGCACAGAGCCTTCTTTCTTTGCTCACTTTCCCTACCCCTCCCTCCTCTTCCCTTTCTGCTTTTTGTGGGACTGAGGTTTAAACTCAGGGCTTCAGGCATGCAAAGCAGGCTCTCTACTGCTTGAGCCATGTCTCCACTCCATTTTGCTCTGGTTATTTTGGAGATGGGGGTCTCACGAACTATTTGCCCAGGCTGATCTTTAACTGCTATCCTCTCAATCTCAGCCTCCATAGTAGCTAGGATTACAGGTGTGAGCCACCGGTGTCTGGCCTTCCTACTCTTCTGATCTTACCTGCCCCCCTTTGTTTTTTGTAGTGCTTGAGACCAAACCTAGGGCCTCAGGCGTGCTAGACAAGTGCTCTAGCACTGAACTACATCCTCAGCTCCAGAGTGGGTTTGTGGAAAGCCCTGTGACTGGATCAGACTGCTTGCATCCATCGTGGGATTGCACATGAGCGTTTTCACTGCACAGGGGAGGTGCTGAGCAGAAAGGAAGGGTCTGCAGGCAGGCACGTATTCATGGATTAAGTGCAGAAGCCAAAGTATATCTATGTAATGGTCCACGTTATCAGTGTCACTGTTTATCAGAGGCAGCAGGGTTGTGGGTCGTTGTGCCTGGATACTTGTTTTGACGAATATATTTGTGTTGCCCATTGTAAGCCATGTGGGACAAGTCAAGATTGATTTGGAAAAGCCCCCAAGCAATCTAATGGCTATAGTTGTCCCTGAATGTCACTTGGAAGGAACGCTCACCAGGCAGAAGATCCTGGGGGAAAAGAGAGTTTGCACAGGGCGATTGTAATTTGGGCTAAAGTCCCAATTAGGATCCCAGCTCATTGTGGAGGTCCCAAGAGAGGCTGTTTCATATGGAGACTTCTGGAGGGACAATGCGTCTTAGGTGAAATCCTGTGGATAGGTAGGTGATGCCATCTCAGGTGTGCAGGTGGACAGGTCTCAAGTCTAAGCCATTAGGGTCTGATGAGATCCAGGGGCAGAGATGTAAAGGAGATGGCCTGAAGTATGTTGAGATAGAAAGTCTGGTGAGATAGAGGGTCCCAGACTTGGGCACATTTATTTAACGTGCTAATGATTTTTTCACTTGTTGGGAGGTTGTTCTCTTCAGAATGTCTCATATGGGGATTGTTAGGTATTGCATTCAAGTTTGCCAGGCGATGTGTGGAGTTTCTAGCGTGGGGAGGGGGACCCGTATTTGGTGGAATTGGTTATACAAGGTGATGGCCTAATAAAGTCTGCAGTTGGTGAGGGTGAAAGATGACTCTGGCTTTGGAGTGTAGATGGGAGTGTTCCGTACCCAAGCCAGAAAAGCCAGATGAGCCCCAATAAAGTGAAGCATGTCAGAAGACCATGCAGTGGTATTTTGATGGTCTTGGCATTGTGGTGAAATTCCTCCTCTTCCCACCATTGTTGGGTGCAGAAGAAGGGCAAGTGGCATGTGGCGTTGTCTCTGGGTTAGCAGGAATACAGATCAAGGGGACACTACTTAGTGGGAAGGGTCCAAGGCCATGGTATTTGAGGATATTTCTCATGTGGGTCAGTTTCAGTTACCGTGTCTCTTGCTCACTGTTCCATCTTGTCTCCCCTGCGGGGTATTACTGCCACTTTTTGTGAAAGTTCATCATGGTTGTCAGCTTTGAGTTGGCTTTGCCCTCATGGAATTCATGCAGACCTCTGGCTTGGATAAATTCAAACCATTAGGATTCAAAGTCAGTATACTTGGGACCATTGGGATGGACACTTGAGAATTAAGGATCCTGCCATATTATGGGCTTTGTTTATCCCTCTTTCTTTATTGGAGGATGGAGAACAGTGAGAGTGAGGAAGGACAGGTGTATGGGGACCCAGAAAATCAGTACTCGGGCTGGCCTTTAATGGCAAGAACAGGCAGTTCTCCAGAGCATTTGAGAAGATATAGAGCATCCCCAAAGTGGGGAATTTAGCATAATCAGGACTGCTAGGTGCTATTTAGATGACCAGGCATTTTTGGTTGATTAATACTTTTTTATTAGTGCATATTAATTACACAGAGTAATGGGTTTCATTGGGACAATTTTAATATGCATGTAAGATATTTTGATCATGTCCACCCCTGTTACTCTTCCTTGCTTTCCCCTCCCCTTCCCCATGCTATTCCACTGATAGCCTCCTTCTAGATTTCATGCCCCCACCCCCTCTTACTCCCCCTGTCACTTTCTTTTTTTCAGATTCCACATATGAGAGAAACAAGTGATAATCGTCTTTCTTTATTTTTGTGACACTGAGGTTTGAACTCAAGGTTTGACTCTTGCTAGGCAGGTGCTGTACTGTTTGAGCCCAGCCAATAATCATCTTTCTGATTCTGGCATATTTCATTTGACATGATGATCTCTAATTCCACCTGTTTTCTGCAAATGACATGATTTCATTCTTTATGGCTGAATAATACTCCACTGCGTATTTTTTTAGTGTATATTAATTGTACACAGTGGGTTTCGTTATAACTTTTCTTGTGTCCATATTATATGGCTATGGTGATCATATTTACCCTCCATTACTCTCTCTTGGCCCCCTCCCCCAAGCCCCTTCCTATTTCCTTAATAGCCTCCCTTCTACTATCATGTTCTTTTTTGCCTCTAGGTTCCACATAGCAGGATTATTTTTTAATTTTAATAGGGGTGTTTGAAAAGCCTGTTCTGGGGTACAGTGAGTAAGCTGATTGGGGAAATGGAAGCTTTACAGAACTCCTGAGGCCCATCCCATGGATCTTGTGGATTAAGTGGGAGCTTTGAATTTGGAGGCTACTTAAAAAGCTAAACATTGATCTACCATATGATCCAGCAATACCACTCTTGGGGATAGACCCAAAAGACCGTGACTCAGGTTACTCCAGAGGCACCTGCACACCCATGTTTATTGCAGCACTATTCACAATAGCCAAATTATGGAAACAGCCAAGATGCCCCACTACTGACAAATCGATCAAGAAAATGTGGTATTTATACACAATGGAATTTTATGTAGCCATGAAGAAGAACGAAATGTTATCATTTGCTGGTAAATGGATGGAATTGGAGAACATCATTCTGAGTGAGGTTAGGCTGGTCCAAAAGACCAAAAATCGTATGTTTTCCCTCATATGCGGACTTTAGATCAAGGGCAAACACAACAAGATGATTGGACTTTGAGCACATGATAAAGCGAGAGCACACAAGGGAGGTGTGAGGATAGGTAAGACACCTAAAAAACTAGCTAGCATTTGTTGCCCTCAACATAGAGAAACTAAAGCAGGTACCTTAAAAGCAACCGAGGCCAATAGGAGAAGGGGACCAGGAACTAGAGAAAAGGTTAGATCAGGAAGAATTAACCTAGAAAGTAACACACACGCACAGGAAATCAATGTGACTCAACTCCCTGTGTAGCTATCCTTATATCAACCAGCAAAAACCCTTGTTCCTTCCTATTATTGTTTATACTCTCTCTTCAACAAAGTTAGAGATAAGGGCAAAATAGTTTCTGCTGGGTATAGAGGGGGTGGGGGGGAGAGGGAGGGGGCGGAGTGGGTGGTAAGGGAGGGGGTGGGGACAGGGGGGAGAAATGACCTAAGCCTTGTATGCACATATGAATAATAAAACAATAAAAATTTAAAAAAAGTGGGAGCTTTGATCTGGGCCTGTTGTGTATGGGCTCCCAGTAGGAGTTGGGAAGGTTTTGGTAAGTCCCTGAACAGTGGCTTCCAAAAAGCCTGTCTGGCATGCCCATGTTTAGCCAAGTTTGCATCTATCATGCCATGGGTATATCATATATCGCCGGCAGATGGCGGTAAGGACCAGTGAAAATCAACCTGCCTTTTGGCAGGGTTTTAAGGGTGCTCCCCCTTAAACGGGGTACGCCCAGTTTGTAAAGCACCAAGGAACTCTTTATTGTATTGCAGAGTGCACAACTGGAGATGACCATTGGGGCCCTTAGTGTAGGAGAAAAAGGCCTTTGCCACGCCCGTTGCTATTGCCCAGTCCCTGCCTGCATGAGCTGGCCTCCAGCTCATCTGTCACCGTTCAACTCCAGCCCCCTTTTCTCTCCTTGGAGACCTCTTTCCTCCTGCCATTCAAGATCATTTCTTCCTCCCTTCCTCCCTTCCTTCCAACAGTTTGTTGCCATGTAGCCCAGGCTGGCCTTGAAC